GGGAAGCCAAAATGCTGATTCTGTGGAATTTTGGCATGTCCTGATCCTGCGGTTTTTCAAACCACTGTACACTTTCTTCTATCTGCAGTTCGTTCATTTTTTAAGCTAGTTATGTAAGAACGCGACCTAAGACAGATCGTTCAGTTGATTATCGGACCTTTTCGGCACTGCAGCGTATAGTACCTCCCCCAAAATAGTTATCCGTCTACTGCTCACTAGGGAAGTCCGCCAACCGCCAACTCACCATGGAACTTCGAATGAAGACTTGGGAAGATTGATGGAGTCTACAAGATTATTCGCAAAGTATCCATTTTCACTTTAAATTCGCCCTTTTTCAAACCAAATTCGTCCTTTTTCAAACCAAATTCGTCCTTTTTCAAACCAAATTCACCCTCACTCTTCATCAAGAACCACACTTATTAGGGCGGGCAACTCATCAACCAGATCACGCCAGACATCACTGCGAGCCCCGCCCCGACGGCCACGCCCACTTGTCAGCGCGGACATAGATTCTCAAATCTTGTTTCATAACTTCTGCTTTTGCTGTTTCCCACAAACACTTTGACTGGAAACCACCGTGCATTCACACATGGCCGACTCCGCCCATTCTCTAAAGGGTTTGGCACTCTAGGCTGACCACGCCCACTGGCTTTTCGCGGAATTTCGATGTTATTTCAATTTTTTGCCAGTTTAGCGGTTGCTTGCAGTGAAAGCCGCCCTTTGTGGGATGCCCCGCCTTACTTTTAAAAGCTCCGCCCACTTGTTCAAAAATGGTGCCAGATGCGGCGTACAGAGACTTGGCTTGCATGTTAGTGTATTGCTGATCATTCGGAATAAACTTTGCCGGATTTTCTTGTTCCGAGTGACGTACGAGACCCTAACATGCAAGCCAAGTCTCTATACTGCCGATCTGCACCATTTTGAAAAGGTGGGGGCGGTTTTCTCATAATTTAAGCGGAGCCTTTGTGCACAAGTGGGCGGGGCTTCACGCAGCAACCCTAAATTGCAAAAATTTTGAAAAAACATCGAAATTCCGCGAAAAGCCAGTGGGCGTGGTCAGCCTAGAGTGCCAAACCCTTTAGAGAATGGGCGGAGTCGGCCATGTGTGAATGCACGGTGGTTTCCAGTCAAAGGGTTTGTGGAAACAGCAAAAGCAGAAGTTATGAAACAAGATTTGAGAATCTATGTCCGCGCTGACAAGTGGGCGTGGCCGTCGGGGCGGGGCTCGCAGTGATGTCTGGCGTGATCTGGTTGATGAGTTGCCCGCCCTGATAAGTGTGGTTCTTGATGAAGAGTGAGGGTGAATTTGGTTTGAAAAAGGACGAATTTGGTTTGAAAAGGACGAATTTGGTTTGAAAAAAGGACGAATTTGGTTATGAAAAGGTGCCGAATTTTAAAGTGAAAATGTATATATTCAGCAAACAACGGCAACCTGCATTTCCATAAGCTTATGAGCAGGAAAAGATCTATATATGGTAGCAGTAGTTTGAGCTTTGTGTGATCATGTGAAGCATAAGCCGGAAATCGCCATATGATAGTCGAATACTGGAGTCAGTGGTGTCCAGTTGTTAAAGGTTCGACGTTCGACGATCTCTTTTCAACGTATGCGATCCCGGCTTATGCTTCACAGCCTCACCAACACGTCTCCACCCTACTGCACCACTACAACTTTACCTGCTCATAACTTGCTTGTGAAGTGCAGGTTGCAGTTTTGCTAAATATATTTGTTGCTGAATCCCATTGTATGATCCATCAAATCTTTCCAGGTCTTCATTCAAAGTTCCATGGTGAGCTGGCGGACTTCCGTTCAGCCGCATGGTAACTACTTGAATTTTTTTGCATAGAGTTGCTGCTGAAGCCCCGAGGGCATACAGGTGTTTCGACTCTCAGAATTTCGTAAGGTACGGAAGAATGTGTGGCGATCCACGGGATGAACTTACTCAAGGATATGCAGCTCCGTGGTGAGGCAACCAGTCATGATGCGCCGGCTGTGAGTTTGAAGCAATGGAACCCCAGTAGAATGAAACGGCGAAAAAAAAGAAGAAAAGTAGTAGGTGTTCTGGATTGTCACCAGAACCTACCGGTGCATCCTTTTACGACTACCTGATTGATACGTGTAAGCCATAGGCAAACTTGAGACATGTGATTATGACCCATAGGTAAATAGTTAGATACTCGATGCGTGACCTCTCCTGTATTGAGAGGCACGCCTAGATTAAGTTAGCATTCTACCACTACCTCCACCGAGACCACCCCGTCTTGGAAACCATCACCTAACACGAGGCCACCCCGTCTCGTCTATACTGTATTATATTGCAACTCCAACGAGGCCACCCCGTCTCGTCAATAAAGCTACATAAACCTACACATGTAGGAAGAATTAGAAAAATAGAAAAGAACAGAACAGTCGCCAATTCACTCGATCGTATCTAACAATTTCTGCTGCACTCTAATCTCCCACTCTCCTGTGCAGCCCAACTATGAAATGCGAACTACGCCTCAAAATTTGATTGGGAGTCCTTTTTGCGACGCATAAACACTAGCACGTTTTCCAAAACATGCGAACACAGCATTCGCAAGTGTATCCTTACAACACATCAGAAAGATAAGCCAGGGCATAGCTGGCAAATTCGAAGGGCACCCACACCTACACGGAGAGTAGGGAAATTGTCGATGTTATAAAAGCGCGCAATGTGAAGAACCATGCAGACAATGAACTATCTCTTACTCAGAAAGGCCCTTCTGCGCATCCGTAACAAGAGAAAGTATTTCAGTGACACAAAATATAAAAGTATATAAACAAAGACTAATTCTTTTCATCACTACTACGTCTCACCATGAAAAAACGCTTTTCCAAAAAAATAACAAAATTACAAAAAGCTGAATAGCAATAATCACAATCTAAGGAAAAACGTATGACACTCACCACTGCCAACAATGCTCTCAACTGTTTGCTCATCTGGCCACATTCTTTCGCGGTAGAATCTTTAAATATGTTATGAGAAACTCTTGTGTTGCTCCTACTGACTACGAAGACTTTCGAGAGGTTCATTGCAATAGCCCGCTCTCGAATCCCACCCCTCTAGCTTATGAGGCGTCTCATACTTTGCGTTTGCCGACAGACGTCTGCAGCGGAAGTATAGGTATCAGATCCTAAGGGCTTGAGCGTCAGCGTTTTGAGCGACTAGAAAAGTAGTCGATTACTGCTGAAACGATGACGGATGCTCACAATGATAAAAACGCTGCCGCAAAGTACGAAGGCGCTCTTCTTTCGACAAAAAGTTGTTTGCACTCATCGCTCTTTGCCTTAGTTACTCAAAAGACACCCTTTCTCAAGCTCAGACTTCAAACATATCATCTAAAAGATAAAATACCTCTCTGTCAAGTCAGGGAAATGTTGCTCATAGAGATTGTGGATTTCTGGGACGTCTTTCTTTTCAATCATCTGAGCAAAGTAATCCAAATAATCAGCAACTTCTGTCGGTACACCATCCTCATCCACTAAAACAAGTCCAATGGTGAATTTGCAATGAAAAAACCATGAAAAAACTTACAATGACTGCATATAGCGTAACGAAACTACCTATACGCCCTTCGTTCCCTTTTCGTTATTGCCAAATCCGGTTCCTGTCACCAGCTGTGTGCGTTCAAATTATGACACTTACTGTCCGTCCATTCTCCCTGGCATCACAATATTGACAAGAAAAGAGAAAAAAGTAGGAATAAACTAACCGCTTGATGCGAGCACACTCGAGAACAACATAGCTGATTTCCCAACGCTAAATTATGAATGCACTAACAAATCTAGGTGAACTATTAATATGCATAAAGTAAAGAGAAGGAAAAGGAAAGTACTGATAAAAGGAAAAAGTGAACTTTGGAAAACAGCAGCTGGGAAATGTTTGTAAAACTTCGCCCCCGAGCGCAGGTTATCCGCGGAGCGCCACTTCGCTGCAGAAGCCGGGACTAATTGGTGGTACAGGAACCTGAACAGGGAAGGATCTTATTGTTAGGTAGAAGAGGCAATTTCAGGAGGGATGTATACCGTGAATCTGGACGCCGATCTCGAAACCTTTTTCCCCAAAAATGCCCACGACATTCCTAACGCGCGGTTAGCGAAGGGCTTTTTTGCACAGGCTACAAGTCGTGGGTTCAGATCCTTGGTGAAGTTTTAGTGCCTTTTTGCGGGTACTGCTGGTCGAGAAAGACTTTGACCATCGTCTTTACCAATGTAAAGAGGCCCTCGTAGCGACGTTAAGTCGTGGTTTGTGAGAGGAAGTGGTAACACTGACCAGAACTGATAGGGGCGTCGGAAGGGGAGGATAAGCCAAGCATGGAGGGGTCGGGCAGATATCCTATCAAGTATCAGTTCCATAAGATTCGCTGTGTTGAGTTGAGTTTTGACGTTTTATTTTGTTTCTGTTGTTTTCGATGCCTACACACAAATATTTGTGTAATAAAGTAAGATTCGCTGTGTAATGACTAAATCTTTGGAGACATTCTGTGTAATTGGGCCCCGTGCTAGCCAGGGCAACAGCATTCGATGGGGATTTTGGTCGAGCCTGTACGACCCCCCTTTTTTTTGGGGGTTCGGTACGACCCCCCCCCTTTTTGCCGTTCGGTTTTTTTCGCCTTAAATGAAACTATGAAACGCCCACTATGAAATTCTACTTGTATGAAGGTGCCCATACTAAATGGACGACTTGAAGTCATGACATAATAGAACAATACAGAGATGATTGCAAACAAAACGGTACAATCGTATTATGAGAAACTCGTATGATGAACTTCTTCGATGGCCGTTTTGAAACACACATGGTAATAATAACGATATATCGCGATTAAATTCAATGAGCATTCGTTAACCTGAGGTGGACTCCCTCTCTGGGAGCGGCCATCAGCGACCACAGTGTTAACAACGTCTATTCCAAGATTGAGGACGAGAAAGAGAAAGTTAGGCTTGTCTCACTACGTAACAGTTATACAAACCGCCGTAAAAATGCATTACCCCGATTATTGGAGTACGGTAGCAGAAGCGCATGTAATTGCAGATGTGACCGCAGATCGTTCGGCAATTTTAGCCATGGAGCGAGAATTTTCAGCAAAGTAGGGTGTCTTTGAAGGACCATAACTTCCTCAAAAGCGGACCTGTGGGGAAGAGGAGACCGTACTCGTGTAGAGGAAGGTTTGCACTTCCTAAATGTACTAAAACGTTTATGAAGGTCGCAAAAATCACAGAGAAATCTGCCCATAGGGATTCCATGGGGAGTGAAGGGTTGAAGTTTAAGTTGAACAGGTTTGAACCAATATATTTTTTTGTAACTCAACATTTCACAAATCTGAGAATGGTTTCGAGTGTTTGAAGATTTTCTCTTTCTAAAACCTCTTGAACTGTTTCTGAAGCTCTCGGGATTCATGAGATCTCGCTATGGGGATTTCTTGAGGAACACTCCCAGCTGCGCGAAAAACCCGTTTCCTGTGTACCGTTTCAAGTGAGCGTGTTCGAATAGCCAGGAACGCATGTAGAACGTATCCTGTGGTGGAGCAGGAGCAGGATATGGTTCGTTTAGCGCCGATCACGCCAACTTTGGATGCGCCGCGCACTGAGGGCCGCGCAGAGGTGATGGGATGGTGCAACTTGTGCGTAATGTCTGTTCACGCGAGCAAATGTGTCTATAAGGTTCAGGGAGGTCCATGGCGAGCCTGTGCACTTGTTTACAGTGTTTTCCATTGCGTATGATGGAACATGTCCCTGTCAACGCTGCCAGATTCGTGCTCCGCCAATCGCTGACTCCGATAAAGGAGACCAACTGCTGGAAAACGTCTGATATGAACGATATGGTAGTCCTGTCGCTTGTCGAGAAAAAAACAGGTTGGCTCAGCGCCAAGCGCGACCGCGGACACGCCATATCATTGGCAGCGAACCAGAGTTTGAGTTGTACTGTTTAGTCACCAACGGACTTACGAGATAATGTCGACTTATTAATATTTGCAGTTATTTCGGATTAGTTTGATGAATGAAAGTTTTGTACTATTTTTTTGCATATCCGAGTTCTCTACAAGTTTCGTTGTACAGGACTCAGCACATTGACAATTTGCGCTGCTCGTTACTGGCTGCCGCACTCACTACGACCCCCCTCTCCTGGCGGCCAAATACGACCCCCCTGTTGGGGATTCCCCAACCAACGATGTGCCCTGGTGCTAGCGGAGTCAGCAGGATTCGGATAGCATCGACAAATAGCAATTAGGGTGAACGCTTGTTGAACCTTTCCTACCTTCTTCCAAAGGCTCTTCGAGGCAGGGCTCCAGATTTGTGGCCCGTAATTGCAAGTAAACCTCGTCATCCGGGCAGTTGATTAGGGCGGTCGTCAACGGGCCGCAGCGCGTGCCAGGAACTATTTGCTTTTTCCAGGCTAATTTAGTCATTTTTTCCACCTTGTGAAGATAAGGAGCTGCTAATCTGGGAAAAAGTAGCCAAAACAGTGAAAAGTTGGAAAAAATGACTAAATTAGCCTGGAAAAAGCAAATAGTTCCTGGCACGCGCTGCGGCCCGTTGACGACCGCCCTAATCAACTGCCCGGATGACGAGGTATATTTGACGTTAATCCTTTGCACAATTTTATGCCGTCGCTTGCACCCCTGACGTTGTCCAGGATTTCGAATACCGCCTTCTGCCTTTCAGGAATGTTCCAAAGGCTTCTTTGGCGAGCGGGTCAGAAACCAATCCGTTCCTCATGAACATTGTCTTCGTTAGATTCAGCCGTAGACCGATTTTTCCACACGCGCAGTCGAAATCAGCCAGCATTCGTTCCGCTTGCTCGATGTTTGGTGTTATCAAAACGATGTCGTCAGCAAAGCGGAGATGGTGTAGTTGCCGACAGTCGATCTTCACTCGGCTATTGCCGTTTGGAGGCGCTCACTTTTGGCTGCCGGCTCATTTATGGCGTGCCTAGATCACCAAATCCGCAGAAAACTTGTATATAGAGGTATTCAACATCCTGATTACGAATATGACATTCATTCTTGGCGCTGGCGCTAATGGAGGACACTACGATTATCTTCTGGGCTCAGCCTTAGCAGAGCGCAGATAATCGTAGTGTCCTCCATTAGCGCCAGCGCCAAGAATGAATGTCATATTCGTAATCAGGATGTTAAATTACCCTGTATACAAGTTTTCAGCGGATTTGGTGATCTAGGCACTTCATAAATGAGCTCGCAGCCAAAAGTGAGCGCGTCCAAATGGCATCAGTCTCTTCACTCCCATGTCTTCCCATTCCAGTTGACGCATGACGTTCTCGAGAGAGGCGCTGAAGAGCTTGGGCGAGATGGTGTCGCCCTGTCGGACCCCTCTCTTCACATCGATGATGATCTCCTTGTAGAATGGTGAGATCCTGGTCGTGGATTTGCTGAACTTCGTTACAGATGTGATCGATCGTGCTGAATCCTCTTCGAAACCCTGCTTGCTCGCATGGCTGTCCTTCGTCTAGTGTTCTGCCAATCCTGTTCAGGATGACTCGTGTGAAAAGTTTGTAGACTACAGACAGCAGGCAGATTGGGCGATAATTGCCAATGTCGTACAGGTCTC